GAGGTGGACAAGGAGGGTGGGTCATGAGAGTGGTCAGTATGCATTGTGCACAAGTATACAATTGCATAAGAACAAATTTTAATTTAAAAGATGATAATGAGCTGGGCATGGTAGCACATGCCTTTAATGTTGGGAACTATTAATCCATTATGTACATTGAGCTGTGGCAGGCTTGCTTGTTTACTTAGAGTTTGTGTTTTGCACACCAGTACCTAATTTTATATGGTGGAGTTCACAACAAGTATTTGACCGCTCCTTGACCCTCAGATACAGGTGGGAAAAACAGCTGTTGAAACTAATTGAGTTAAGCAAAGGGTGGCTATCTTTGATGTCCTACTGTATAAAAAGGCGGAGCTGAAATAAACCGGGGCTGCAGTCTGTACTGACAGTCCTCCCAAGTATCTTTTCTGTCTCTTGTTTTTTTCTTTCAATCCTCACTCCCCCTTTCAGGTACTGTTCGTCTTGGCCAGCTGGCACCAGCACTTTAATGCCAGCACTCAGGAGGCAAAGGCAGGAGGTCTTTGAGTTTAAGGCCATCTTGGTCTACTTAGCAAATTCCAAGCCAGCTAGGGCAACAGAGTAAGACCCTCTTTCTCTTTCTTTCCTTTTCTTTCTCTTTCTTTCCTTTTCTTTCTTTCTTTCTTTCTTTCTTTCTTTCTTTCTTTCTTTCTTTCTTTCTTTCTTTCTTTCTTTCTCTTTCTCTTTCTTTCTCTCACTCACACACACGATGACAATGATAAACTTTTCTGATTTCAATTTTCTCAAATTTATATAAAAAAATGACATTCAGCACAAAACTTTTTAATGTGAATGGCTTTTTCCCCCAAAGTGCTATAATATTCTGAACTACTTTTCAACTTGAAATACTAGATAATGAGAAGCTAACATGCTTTGTCTCCTTTTTTGTCTCTATAATTTTCTGGTGACTGGATGCTATCATTTGGTAGCATGTCTTTAATCAGTATACTCCATTCCCTTCCTGATTTACCTCTTCTTATCCTACTTGTTAACATTTGGTGGATACTACTTACTCTTGTGTCTCTTTTTTTTCAATACTGAGGATTGAACCCAGAGCTTCATGTGTGTTTCCGTGCTACATCACCAGATCTTTTACATTTTATTTGGAGACAAGGTTTTACTAAATTTTCCAAGTTGGCACTGAACTTGTGACCCTCCTACCTCATCTGAGTAGCTGGGATTACAGGCTTGTGCCACTAGGGCAGGCTCTGATCATTTCTTTCATAACAATTAATTCATGCTTGCTGCAGATCTAACTATCACAGGTATCTCTGGCTTCTTGGTCAATTGTTCTATCACGTGCATCCCCTTTTCCCTAATTGTTTTTTAAAGTATCTTGCTGGATTGTGTTATTTACATGAATAAACCATGTATCTGTTATGTGCACTATTCTTAAGTCTAGAAATTTACTGTTACAGCTTACTTTTGTAAGGTTCTAGAACTCTTACTTTTTTAGATCACAAGTCAAGCTGATCATTGCCCTCTATATAGGCTACAAATTTTACCTGTTCATCAAGTATTAGCTTAAGTCACTCCTAGGCTCAAGCCCAGACCACATTAGTTTCTCCGAGTGTAGGTAACACTATATTCCCTCCAGAAAGAACTTGATTATATGGGTCTTTAAGCATTTTTGTAATTGCTAGCTTGTATGGTCCTTGAGTTAGAGATTATTATTTACATGGCTCCTGCCTTTTGCAGTCTTTAGGGACTATAGCTGAATGAGCACTAAAAGATGAAGGTTATTATCCTGATTTGTATTGAGGATCTGATGAAAGCTCTTTCATCCTATTTTCTCATACCATAAACAGCACTATATAAATAGAAGGCTCTCAAAGTATCTTGAAGATCATTTGTTTGTAATTCATAATCTGTCAGTAAGAAGAAAATATACTTTTTAAGCTAAGCCTACTGGCACATGCCTATAATCTCAGCACTTGGGAGGCTGAGGCAGGATGGTTACTGAGTTTGGGTCCAATATGGGGTACACTGCAAGATCCTGTCTCAAACCAAACCAAATCAAAACATCAAAACTGTGTGTGTGTGTGTGTGTGTGTGTACTCAGTTGCCTCAGGTTGTCCATTACAATGACTTCTCACATTTATAAACTTTGGGTCAATACTTTTCTATATAAATATTAATGTTGATTCTAAGGTTTTTTTTCTTTTAACATTGTGTGTGTGTGCATGTGTACACATGCATCACAGTACACATATGGAGGTCTGAGGATAACTTGCAGGAATCAGTTCTCTCCTTCTATCAGATGAATTCTGGGGATCAAACTCGGTCATCAGGCTTGGTGGCAAGCTCCTGTACCTGCTGAGTTATCTCACTGGCTCTCAGCTCCTGATAAATTGTGAGTTATTATAGCACACAGGTCACCAACAGAGGACATAAGGAATGAAACATAAAAGTCTATTCTACAATGAAAACTATAAAGCACTGAAGGAAGGTTCTGAAGACACTAGAAGATGGAAAGATACCCTATGCTCATGGTTAGGAGAATTAATAGTTTAAATGACCATATTACCAAAAATAGTCTACAGATTTACCATTATCCCTATGAAAATTCCAATGACATTCTTCACATTAAATACAAATACAATCCTAAAATTCATACAAAAACACAAAAGACTTTGAATAACTAAAGAAACTCTGAGTAAAAAGAACAATTCTAGGAATATCACACTATTTGATTTCTAACTATACTCAGAGCCATAGTAACACAAACTGCTCAGCTTTAATACTTTAAATTTTTTTCTATTACATTTATTCATTTACTTTGTGTGTGGGTATGTGCATGCCATGGTACACATGTGGAGGTCAGAGAACAATTTTCAGCAATCAGTTCTTTTCTTCTACCATGTGGGTCCTGGGAATCAAGCTTGGTGGTAAGTGCCTTTACCTGCTGAGACATCGTACAGGCCCCTGCACAGCTTTTAAACAAACCAACACAGCTATAACCATTTGATTAGATGCTTGAAACTAGATTCCTGTATCTGATTCTGCAGAAAAACCAAACCAAAATCTATCAAAGGCTTTAAATCTTAAAGCTTGAAACTTTGAAAGGGCTAGAGGAAAACATGGGTACATGCAAAGACTTTCTGAAAAGGATTCTAATAGAGCAGGACATATGGCAAGAACTCACAAAATTGCTCAAAATAAAAAGCTGCTGTGCAGCAAAGGAAACAATCTAGAGTCGAGAGAATGGCAAGAGAATGGAGAAAACTTTGTCAGCAATTAATCTGACAGAGCGCTGATATCCAGAATACATAAAGAACTCAAAAAATTAAACATAAAAAGAGCAAACAGGTAGGCAAATGAACTGAATAGAAACTTTTAAAATGGCCAAAAAATACGTGAAAAATGTTCAGCATTTCTAGCCATCAGGGAAATACAAATCACCCCAAGTAGAATGATTTTCAAGAAAACAAGAAGCAGGGCTGGAGAGATGGCTCAATGGTTAAGAGCACTGGCTGGGTTTGAGTCTTAGCACCCACAGGGCTGCTAACAACCATCTGTAACTCCAGTTTCAGGGGAATTCAATGCCCTCTTCTAACCTCAGTGGGACAACACAGGTGCATACACAGATGCAGGAAATACACTTAGACATGTAAAATAAAAATAAAAATATTTAAAACAAGAAGCAACAAATGTTGATGAGAATGGGGGAGACGGGAACCTTATACACGTGTTGTCAGGAATGTAAGTCAGTCCAGCCACTACGAAAACCAGGATGAAGATTCCTCAAAAAAATTAAAAACAGAACTCCCATATGGCCCAGCTACACCACTTTTGGGAATGTGCCAGAAGAAATCAGTCAGCTTACTATACAGATAACCTACATACTCATTTTTATTGTGGCATTATTCACAACAGCCAAGTGGCCATCAACAGATGATTATAGAAAACATGATCATATGTAGAATTTTGTCCAATCATGAAGAAAATTATGTAATTTTCAGGAAAATGGATCAAATTAGAGAGCATCATGTTTACTAAAAGCCAGTCTTGTGTTTTCTCTTGAATGTGGAATTGAGCAGAGAAAAGCGACATGAAAATAAAGAAGGAACTATAGTGTGGAAGGGGAAATTGGGAGAGGGATAAAAAAAGATCAGAGGGTGAATATGTTACAGGACAGAGTTCGTAAAAAAAAATCACCAACACCACTTTAAGAAAAGTAGCAAGGTAAATTTTAATTTTCGACCGGCCAGGCTGTCTATCTCGGGAGTAGAAGCAGCCCTGATGATTGTCAGGTCAGAGTTTTTATAGGATTACAGAATTATTATTAAAAACAGACACTTGTGAACCAATCAGGTTTGTACAACATAGCAGAATTTTGACTCTATTAATCAACAACCAATCATTATACAGACAAGTGATAGTCATATAACTTGGCAATCAACTTTGTGACCTTAAAACTTGTCAACTATTTTAGCCATAATAAGTATAATAAGACAGTCAAGGTAAAAAGATAACAAGGGTGGTCTTATGCCCTGTGTCAAGGTGACCCAAGATAGCAAGCGGATTACAGAAGCGAAAACAAGCTGGTTAGTCAGACGTATAATGTCTGGAATTAGCACATTCCATGATTCATGGCTAGGGCAATTTTCCAAGACCCAAGGTTGCCCCCCTTTTCCTTTTTGTGTGGAGCAAAGTTGCTGCTGAAATGGCTCTGAACAAAATGGAGTAACTTAGGTAGGTTTGCTGAGCCAGTTCAAATATAGTCAAAGTACATGAGCCGAATTGGGACAAGAAAACCCATGTGCTTTGTATAGCTAATAAAAAACTGAAAAATAAAAAGCAAAAATTAAGCCTATTACAGTGTGTGATTAATTTGCCACAATGCTTCTGAATTGATAAAGGGAATTATAATAAATAATAGAAAGCACAGATTCTAAAATAATGCATGAAAGTAATAGTTCGAAATCAAGTGTTTCATAGTTTATTAAATTTAAACTAAGTCTTCAGTTCTCTTCTTTTTAAAATTTTTATTTTCTGAGACAAGGTTTTACTTGCAGGGGAGGTTTCAGGCAGCCCATGAACTTGCCATCCTCCTACCTCAGCCTCGAAAGTGCTGGGATTAGCAGCATGTTCCACAATGCCAGGCATCCCCGGTAAATTTTCCTAACTTGATACACCATAAAAAGCTGACAAAACATCTAACAAATTACATAATACAATTTAAATTTTCTTTAAAATTCTAATTCTCTAGCATCTGTAGACATTATTAACCTATATTTGCATCAAACTGAAGTATGATGTGGGGAAAAAAGAACTTCCTGGGTAGAAACTACCTCTTGGACAACCCTAAGTTGTTAAATACTCTACCACATCAGCACTATATTTAGATAAATGAGGAAGGTCTGGGAGAAGGATTAAGCTGCTTTTAACTCCCCAAAGAAAAATCCCAGCAACTGAAAGTATTCTGAAAACCACTCGTTAGTGCAGAACCGTACACTTTAACAAAAGCAAAGACCAACATAGATCCAGAAATGTCCTTAGTTGGGAATATACCTGCAAGTTTGTTTGTAAACCTGCAGAGTATGTGGGAGTCTTTGAAAAGATCAGTTAAGATAATCACCAAATAACGTGGTACACTTATATGATCATCAGTGTTAGTCACAGCTGTTACTGCAAACGCAACATACTGCTGCATTTTATTTGGAATCCAGTACCGCACAAACATTTCTGTAAGAGGCCACAATTATGTCTTATTGATCTAGGAACTCTGGCACTGAAAGCGTGAACAACCCAAGGTAACGATGTCGTCACCAAGGGACGACCATAGAGCCCAAATCCCTTGACTCCCAAGCTTGTGTTTTCCACTGATTGTGCTCCATTCTACCATCTGAGTGTAAAGAGTTGGAGAGGGGAGTGGACACCAACGAGCCGCGTCTGCGAGGTGGCGATGCACGGAAGGTCCTCAGGAATCGCCCTCTGATACTTTTGTTTTGGCCGAGCAGGATGAAAGCAGCAACCACAGACCCCAGGGACCGAGAACTGGAACTAGGTACCGCCTGCTGTGGTAACTCTCTTCCTCACTGAGGCCTTTCCCTTTTCACCTTCTTTCCGGCCCAGCCCGGGCGCTCTCCCCTCTCCTGCGGTCCCCATCCTCCCTCTTTCATGCCCACTCCGCACATCACTGCCGGGTGGCGGGGTCCGACAGTGACCAGGCGCCGCACTCGCCCTCCACCTGGCGCTTCCTCTGCCTTTGAGGGTTCGTGGCCCGGCGTTGTTCTAGAAAATGAGTGACAGACAGTACTGCAATGGGGTTCGTCTGAGAAACTTCAGAGGTGGGGGCCCGGGTAAACTCGTACAGTGCGTAGGTCTGGGGGCTCGTCAGGACAAAGCACGCCCAGACAATGAGGCCGGTGCCTCCCCTGGGCCAGAGCCGCTAGCTCAGCTCTCCCTCGGGCAACCTTCGAAACGCGTGTTTACACTTTCCCTATAGTCCGCCGACCGCAGACCCGGAGGGGGATTCCAAACCGTTACTCCGCCCGCCGGGGTGGGGCCAGCCTAACGGCCGAGCCTGCGCCCTGGGCCCACCAGCTCTGGCGGACTACAAATCCCAGAGGGCCTCGCGCCGCGGGCGAGAGGGTGTGGATTGCTTACCTGCCTGGAGTTCTTTCCTCCGGCTCTTATCGCTCCTCCACTTCCCGTCCTCCTCAGAGTCCTTCCCACAGTTAAAGGCTACTCCCTCCTGGGAAGCCTTAGCAATTTCGACAGCGAAGCCCCTCGTGTGGCCGCTCTTTCTGCCTCTATCTCTCTCCCTCCCCGGACTCCGGCGGCTGAGGCGAAAGAAGCCCGAGCGAGCCTACGCGAGGGAACCCAGGCACACTTCCGCCCTCCAGGCTCCGGAAGGCAGAGCGCACGCGTTAGCTGCGACTCCAGCGCGGCTTACTTCCGCTCCCACTGTGCCCTGCGAGCCGAATCATGGATCACACTGGTAAGGAGGCGGAGGCAGTGGGGGTCCTGGTTTCTTGCCCCCGTGGCTCGTGTGGGACTGGTCGCCCGGCGGGCACCGGGGGGCTACGCTCGGCTCACGGCGCTGGGGCGTGGCGGTGAGAAAGCAAGCTTACACACTCTTTCCCTAGCCAGCCAGGGCCTGCGGTTTCCCGGCCTACCCTCCGGTCGGTGCCCCCATCCTCGGAACCCGCAGCCGCCGGTTAGGCGGTGCTGCTGAATTCGCCCCGGGTGCGCGGCGTGTTTGGTGGGAAGGGGAGTGTGCTAGCGCTGTCTCTCGGCCCCGCAGCTCTGTACTACGTCCTGGGGAAATTGGCGGGTGTATTGCACTCGGAATTGGAGAAGCGTCCTGACGCTGGGCGAGAGTGGGTTGGAGACTTCCTGCTCTCTCTCTCTCGGCTTTGGGCGGCTGCTGCAGTGGTCACCTCCTGTCGTTATTGTCTCGTCGGCCTTTCCTGGACGCAAGAGAAAGAAAGTCGGGTGTAGCATTTGTAATCCTAAACGGAGCATCTTTTATGCCCAAACCCAAAGATGCCCCGCCCTTCGGCTGTGGTCCGTTCTCAATCTTTGGGGACGTTTACAAAAAAGATCTTAAGATCAGGAGATTCTCATCGCACATTGCAAGAGTGGCTCCAACACCTTGTTCCTGCTGGCGTCGTTTCCTTGTTCTTGGATATTGAATGAGCGCACTTAGCACTGAGAGCTTCAGACAGTTATATCGGCCATAGCACGAGTAGGAGAAAAGGCTTTTTATTGATTGGAATGCCCTCAATCATCAGATACCTACTTGATTGAATAATTGCATGCAGATACCTGTAGGCTTGGAGATAGAATGAGAGAATGGTAAATAATAGGCCTGCATCCGTGTCGTCTTGGAGATTACATTCTATCGGAGGAGACAGGTTGCTTTTTAACTGTTTGCACAAAATGAGAACTTTAAGAAACTCAGGTGCTATGGAGAAGAAAGTTTCAGAGGGTGGCCAGGGAAGATGTTTCTGGAACGCTAATATTGAAACCAAGATGCGATGGGAAGATACAGAGATTAAGAGAGTATGAAGGCATTGAACAATGAACATAGAGCATAATTTAATATTGTGGACTATGGAAATTGGTCAGATGACTAACGAGAAACAAAATAGGTGGTGGTGAATGCAGTAGACCAAAGGGAAGCTTGCTTTAGAGAAATGAAGGGATGGCCAGTGTAGCTCCTGGAGAGAGTGCTTGTCTAGCAAGCACAGGTCTTGGGTTCAATCACCAGCAAGGAGAAAATAGGGGACAGGGGGAAATGGACAGTTGGGATAAATATTTTGGTGGGAAATCCAACACCTGCTAATGGATTGGTTTGTGGATGTGTGAGAGAAATGAGAAATTCCTAAGTTTCTGATTTGAGAAATGAGAAATAACCGAGTTTCAGATTTGAGTGTCCTGGTAGTGCATATGTATTTATTACTTCAGTTTTCTAAATTATTAATAAAAGGTTGTCTGGGGAATTAAAAGGCATGCTAGCATGAACATAATCACTCATGAACTAGATAGATTAAAAAAAAAAAGAGTTTCCAGCCAACTAGCTTTTCTGTTTTAAATTACTTTATGAGGGTCTTAATGTTTCAGTATTAATTGCTGTGCATTGTGAAGAAAAATTTCAAACCTTGCCAAAGATTCAAACTTTCAGTTCATAAATATGAACTTGGAAACTATTTGAATCACAAAGCTTTTGATAAATGAGGAAATGCCAGTTAGTTGAAGAATTGGTGACAGAATAGGCTTCTCAAAAAAATTTTAATATCAAAGGATCACAAGATCTTATAACTGAAGGTGTTGAAATAGAATTTGGCCAGAAAAAAAACTAATCCAGGAAATTTCCAATGAATACTTGATTCATTCTTTGGTCACTGTAAGAGTTACTTAGTAACTTATGTAAAAGTATCCAAAATTTTGTAAGCTACTACTGCATTCTCTTTCCAGGTGGGGGCTTGGGGGTGGGTACTGAGGACTTGAACTTAGGGTCTTCAGCATGTTAGACAAGTTCTACCTGAGCTGTATGATGTAGTATCACTCCTGTTACAAGTGGATTCACATTTAATTGCCAGCTGTTCTTTTATCCCTTGTGTAATATCCAGAGATCTTATTGTTGAATGCTTTTTGTTTTGTTCCTATATGCAAAAGCAAATTGTACTATATGTTTTAATTTAAATTTATTTTGTGTGTATGAATGTTTTGCCTGCATATATGTAAGTGTACCCATGTTGTGCAGTGCCCACGGAACTCAGAAGAGGGCATTGGACCCCCTGGAACTGGAGTTAGAGACAGTTGTTAACCACCATGTGGATGCTGGGAATTAAACCCAGGTTCTCTGCAAGAACAGCCAGTGCTGTTAACCGCTGAGCCATCTCTCCAGCCCCTTATTTTTAATTTTAAACAATTACAAAAACGCAAATCTAGAATGTGGTCACTTGGAGATCTGTAAAGTGTAAAAGTTTTAAGAAGCAGCAGGCTCCTGAAAAGGGTAGAAGCTGTTCAAGCAAAGGAGACCTCACTTGTGTGAGGTGGTGTGAAAAGGACTTGGAAGGAATTGTGGTGTTTTCATTCACAAAGGTAAAACCACTAAGGATCCTTTGAATAATATGTAAAGGACAACAGCTTGCTTCTTTTAGTTCTTTGGAAAGTCAGGGATACCTTTTGAGCAAAGGGAAAAAAGCATTCTGTCAGATCTCTCTGGATAAGCACTTTTACATAGATGACGAAATTCAGTGAAGGTTGATGATATAAATACATTAAAAACATCCCATCTTACTGCAGTCTTGAAAGATCAAATTATATTTATTTACATAATCCTTTTTCCATGTTTTTATTGTTTTGTTTTGAGAAGGGGCAAATGGATCTGAATTGAACTTGCCTATGGTACTTAGTCTTTGAGGTCTTTAGTGCTAGAGTGAGTACTAGTTCACATTATGGCTTTACTGAATTTAATGTGGACATTAAAGTTTGGCTCTCAGTTTGTATTGCAATATTGTAGGAACTTTGCTCATTATGTTTGAAATGTTAGCTTTAAATTTTTTCGTTTGCATTTCCTATTTTAGAGCATTTCCCTTTTTGTTTTTAGGTAAAGTTGAATATCTACTTACTTTTATTTAAAACAAAGTTTTACATGACTCAGTTCTGTGAGATAATGTGCCCATTATTCATGGACAGGTGGTGTTTTTATTTGTTTGTTTGTTTTGTCATAGATAACAGATTTTAAGAGACTAGCAAATGTCAGGGGAGCTAGAGTTGAAGCTGGAAGCTTTGCTGCCTTAAGTGCAACTTTTCCTGGAGTGCCGACTGTTGACTAATAATTACATTTGTCTCTAGAAATGTTATAGCACAAGTAACGTTTTACATGTTCTATTAAGTGGTATAATAATTTTTTATATCCCTTACGTTTTAGAAAAACAACTTTATGCTTAAGGAAAAAATTATCTTTTTAAAAACCAACTTCATGGGGCCAGTGAGATGGTTCAGAAGGTAAAGGCTCTTGGCCACCAAGCCTGACAACCTGGGTTCGATACCTAGGACCTTCCTGGTGGAAGGAGAGAACCAACTCATGCAAGTTGTCCTCTGAACTCTGAACTGCGCTCTCGAATACTAACACACACTACACACAAAATAAATAAACATGATTTAAAATTTTAAATCTTAATTTTCACACTTAAATAGCAGTGATTTTTGTGTTTCTAATTAAATTTATTGAGTGGCTACTTTGCATGTTTGATGATTAGATGCAGATATATAACGATGGCTTTTTTCCTCTTTTATTTTTCAAAATAAAGTATGGTTTGTGGCAGAAGGTCTTGGGTTTCAAAAGGTTTGTTTCTGTAAACTATTATAGAATTATATGGAAAAGATTGCACTTTTATAGGAAGAGGCAGATGTTCTGTGACTTCCAAAGTTCTAAAAAGGTTCTATGTCTCAAACAAAGGCATTCGAAAAAAGCATTGCTTTAAAGGTTTGCCCCAAAGGAAGAAATTTAATGGTTAAACTTATGTCAGTCTAATATTTAGAATTAGAACTACTTGATGGTGTTGATTGTCATCATACTTGTAACAGAATAATCTTCAAAAAGAAAAATAAAAGAAATTACACTTTTTTTTCTGATAGACAATGAGTTACAAGGCACAAATAGTTCTGGATCCTTGGGTGGTCTTGATGTTCGCAGAAGAATTCCTATAAAACTAATCTCCAAGCAAGCAAACAAAGCTAAACCTGTACCTCGAACTCCTCGGACTATTAACAGGATGCCTGCAAAGGCTCCACCAGGTGATGAAGGTAATTTGTATAAACTAAAAAGTTTGACAGTTTTTTAATCTGACTGTACCACTTAACCTATGTGATTTTATTTTCTTAAACTTTAAAATTTTAACCTTACATACTCTTTATTTTCTAGCCTTTTTTTTTTTTTGGATTCTCATTTTGGCATATTTTACTTTTTTCTCCCTTTTAAGCCCCTCTCCCCACTTTTTCAAAAAATCTAAGCAATATTACAGAGTATGTAACATTAAAAATAAAATTTGCCCTTCTCCAAATCTAATCTCTGATAAGACTTTTCATGTAGAAATACTAAATTTTATTATACTTTGCATTTTAGATTTTGCCTAACCAGTATATATGATTATGCATTTTGTGTGTGTGTGTGTGTGTGTGTGTGCATTTTACCCTGGCATGCCTGTAATCCCACCACTTAGGAAGCTGACCCTGTAATTATACCATAATTTATTTAACTTTTTTTCTAGTTTTTTGTTGTTGTTTTACTATGCCAGTGTTAAAATGTGTACTTTGTAGAATTTCTACTTTGTAAAAACTTGGGGCTTTAAAAACTTGATTGTGATGGACTGGAGAGATGGCTCAACAGTTAAGAGCACTGGCTATTCTTGCAGAAGACCTGGATTCAAATCCTAGCACCCACATGGCGGCTAACAACCTATGGTTGTTCAGTTCCAGGGGATCTGACGCCCTCTTCTATCCTCCAGGGCCATTGTACCACATGGATGCACTTACATATATGCAGGCAATACACACATACACCTAAAATAAAAGTAGTAAATTAAAAAAAATAAAAAATTTTTTGTCTTTTTTTTTGTTTTGTTTTTTGTCTTTTTTGAGACAGGGTCTCCCTGTAGCCCCAGCTGTCCTGGAACTCACTATGTAGACCAGGCTGGCCTTGAACTC